GAAGGTTTATCTGATGCTTTTGATAACTCTATTTTTATATCGTCAATCGGAGTAGTATGCTGTAAGTTTCGAAAACAACTCTAAACAGTGTGTCTTGTTTAATTTGAGGATTGGGCGTAGTGAGTGGAGTCTACTGCTGAGAAGTTTTCTTTTTGATTTAATGTGAGAGCCCCAAGTTAATCGTTTGTTGAGCGTGACACCAATATTTGACTTCCGAGGATATTGGGATGATTATTCCTTGGAATTGGAGAGCGATGGAACAGGTTTTTTTTAGTGTAAAGGAAACGTACACAGATTTCTCTCGATTATGTTGAATTATCCAATTAGATGACTAGAAATCAATTAGATTTAAGTTTGTTTAAAGGAAATTGGAAGTAACTTCAAGATCATTTCCTGGGGAGAGTATTGCAGTGTCATCTGCATAAGTGGCCATAATAGTATTTGGTGTTATTGGAATGTCAGCCGTAAAAACATTAAATATTCACTGTCTGGGGGCACTCTTGCTTTAATTTGGTGGTATGATGAAAATGAATTACCATATCTGATTTTATAACTCCTATTTTCTAAATAAGAACGAATTATTAAGTTATATGGGGCAGGTAGAAACAATTTGAGTTTGAAGAGTAAGCCTTCATGCCATACACGGTCAAAGGCCTGTGCTACATCCAAATCCATTATGTACATCCATAATGGATCTGAAGCCAAGTTGGGAACTAGGAATTATGTTGTGGGTGTGTAAGATTGGTCTTATTTTTATGAGTATATTTTTCTTAAACAATTTGGCAAGAGGTGAAATCAAGCTGATAAGTCTATAGGAAGTAGTTTCATTTTTAGGGATTGATAATTACAATTGTTGTGGATAGTTTTTATATTATTCATATTAATGAAGAATAAGAAATTCGCAGCATAGAGTTAAAAATATAAGTTATTAGAACAATAGTTTTTTTTTTGGCAAATTTTTTAGGGTTTTGTTATCTTTAAGGTCCTGGTGATTTCCCTTCTTTTAATTTATTTATTAAAAATTTGATTTCACTTGGTTAGATATGTTTTGCAGGTAATGACATTCGATGAAGACTATTGATAAAAACATTAACCTTTTCTAAGTGTTCAGGGATGGGATATATGTCAGTAAGTGGTTACTGGATATTACAGACACCTCTGCAGAGGTAATTAAAAACAAAATGATAAAAATTAATTGAACTTCAGTTAGGTTACTGGTATTTTTGTTAACTTAACTTAACTCAGTTTAAAATATACTACAGTACTAGTACTCTCGGTTAAAATCACTTTCAAATAAACGCTTTAATGCTAATTTGTAAACACTGCACCTCTCTTTAATTCTTTCATACCTCTCTAACTATTTTTGAAAAAAATTACTTTAAAACCTTTAGTATCCAAGCACGTGATGTGTATACATATATTGTACATAGCGTATATCTAAGTTTTTATAGTCTACAGTATATTGATATATATAGTAATTGTTGGCCATTGGCCATAATTCAAAAATTACCTTTGATCCATTTGTCGATATACTTAACTTTTTGGTTTTTCGTTATCTAAAAAAAATTTGACTAAAGTTGTCTAAGTATTATTTTACACTATCAGACAATACTAAAAATTTTATTTTTTTCCAGTTATATCAACTCATGTTTAAAATTAAAGACAGGAGGTGTAGTGCCGTAGAGTAATAGGGCGCTTATAAAATAATAACTCAATAAAATGAATTATACAAAACCAGCTATCACCTGTCAACATTTTCAGCAAATTATTCTTAACTCAAATTTATTAAATTAACATTATACTTTACTATTAAAGTTATAAAAGTTGTCACAGCTCTGGAAAATATACCTTGAATTTGCTATTCTACATTCTGTGTGTATTAATATTGCTTAATCAATTTTAAATATATATATATTTTAAATGAATAAATACTGTTTTATGTTTTATAAACTATTTTATTTGAACGACACGATATTATTTGTTCTAAAGCAGGACCTAACCGATATTACAAATAAAATGAATGTACAAATTAATCAAATGGCACAATATAAAACCAACCAATATTCAAACAAACCTCAGACGTTCCTTTGCGATTTGTGTAAAAAATGTTTTTTTACCAAAAAGCAAATTCTCTGTCACATGATTACCATCCACAGTACTGCAACGGCTAATCGTCCACTCAAAAAACCGAAGTCTGATAAAAAGCCTTACAAGTGTGGAGTTTGTTTAAAAAATTTTACGGCGAAATGCAGTCTGGTAACGCACACACGGCTGCACACGGGCGAAAAGCCCTATAAATGTGTTGTATGCCTGAAATCTTTTTCGATCAAATCCTATCTGGTAATACACGAACGCACGCACACTGGGAAGAAGCCATACACATGTGCCGTTTGTTTAAAATCATTTACGTCGAAATCATATCTGGCAACGCACATACAGCTGCATACTGGCAAAAAACCCTACAAATGTGTTGTATGCCTGAAATCTTTTTCGGTAAAATCCTATCTGGTGACACACGAACGCACGCACGCTGTGGAGAAGCCATACAAATGTGACGTTTGTTTTAAATCATTTACGGCGAAATACAGTCTGGTAAAACACCAAAGCGTGCACACTAAAGAAAAGCTTTACAAATGTAAAGTTTGTTTAAAGTGTTTTACGGAGAAAAACAGTCTGGTAAGACACCAAAGCGTGCACCCAATAGAAAGGCTTTATAAATGTGGGGTTTGTTTAAAATCTTTTGCGGCGAAATCCAGTCTGGTAAGGCACGTAAGCCTGCATACGGGCGAAAAACCCTACAAATGTGTCGTTGCCCGAAATCTTTTTCGGTAAAATCCACATTGGTAATACACGAACGCACGCACACTGGCGAGAAGCCATACAAATGTGACGTGTGTCTAAAGTATTTTAGCCAAAATACTAACCTTACTATACACAAACGTATCCACATCAGAGAAGAGTGTATTGAATGCTTAAAATCTTTGACCCCAAAAGACAGTCTGGCTGGACACAAATGTGTCCATATTGATAAAAAACCATACAAATGTGATGTGTGTCTGAAGTTTTTCGCACAAAGTTCTGACCTTATCTTACACAGACGTGTCCATATCGGAAAAAAATGTAACGCGTGTTTAAAATATATGACTATAAAAGACTACCTGGCTGGACACAAATGTGTCCGTACTGAAAGAAAGCCATACAAATGTGTTATGTGCTTAAAACGTTTTACAAATAAAGGAAACCTCGCAATACACGAAGGAGTGCACACTAAAGAAAAACCTTACAAATGTACCGTTTGTTCAAAGTCTTTTATGACGAAATCCATCCTGTTAAGACACCAAAGCGTGCACACTAATAATAATCCTTACAAATGTGCCGTTTGTTACAAAGCCTTCAAGGAAAAATCTAATATGCTAAAGCACTCACGGCGGCATACTGGAGAGAAGCCATACAAATGTGCTGTGTGCCTGAAATCTTTTTCGGTTAAATCCTGCCTGGTACAGCATGAACGCATACACACTGGCGAGAAGCCATACAAATGTGACGTGTGTCTAAAGTGTTTTTTTACTAAAACCAATTTCTCCGTCATATGATTACCATCCACAATACTGCAACGGCTAATCGTTCACTCAAAAAACACAAGTCTGATGAAAAACCTTACAAGTGTGGAGTTTTTTTAAAACCTTTTAAGGCAAAATCCGATCTGGTAGGACACCAAAGCGTGCACACTAAATAAATGCCTTACACCTGTGCCGTTGTGTTTAAAATCATGAAAAAATGAACAGACACAATTAAAACAAGAACGACATGTCGATACAAATTTAGCTCCCGTATTAGAATATCTATATATATTGTACTTTTATTAAATACTATTATACTATAGCATATAATATAAAACATGGCAATAATATGCATTAGATCGTCTTAGTACAATACTTTATCGACAATAGTTATCCGTATACATTCTAATAAATAACTGTATTGTAATAAACAATAATTAATGAAAGTATTTTCAATTACCTGATACCAGACGGGAAGTGTAATGCGGTGGAGTAATAGCGTGCATATAAAAATAATAACTCAATAAAATGAATTAACTAAAACTGGCTATCGACCAGTCAACAACTTCAGAAAATTATTCTCAATTCGAATTATGTAAATAAATAACACGCCTTACTATTGAACTTCTAAAATAGGTCAAAACCATAATATTATCTCTTAATATTAATAGTATCTTAATAGTAACATTAAAAATATAAATACCCATATTTTAATAAATAATTACTGTAATATATTTTTATAAACTTTTTAATTTAAACGGCATGATATTGTTTGTTCTAGTGCAGGACCTAACCGAAATTATCAATCAAACGAATATACAAATAGATCAAATGGCACAAACTATGACCAACCAATATTCAAACAAACTTCAGATGTTCCTATGCGATTTGTGTAAGAAATGTTTTATAACCAGAAATCAAATTCACCGTCATATGATTACCACCCACAACACTGAAACGGCGGATCAATTACTCAAAAAAATCAAGTCTGATGAAACACCTAACAAATGTGCCGTTTGTTTAAAATCTTTTACGAGGAAATCCAGTCTGGTAAGACACACACTACAGCACACGGGCGAAAAGCAATATAAATGTGTTGTATGCCTGAAATCTTTTTCGGTAAAATCCTATCTAGTAAGACACAAACGCACGCATACTGGCGAAAGACCCTACAAATGTGTTGTGTGCCAGAAATCTTTTTCGATGAAATCTAATCTGGCAGCACACGAACGCCTACATACTGGCGAAAGACCCTACAAATGTGTGGTTTGCCTGAAATCTTTTTCGATCAAATCCTATCTAGTAAGACACGAAAGCACGCATACTGGCGAAAGACCCTACAAATGTGCTATATGCCTGAAATCTTTTTCATCAAAATCCTATCTGGTAACGCACATACGCATGCATACTGGGAAAATGCCCTACAAATGTGTTGTGTGCCTGAAATCTTTTTCGATGAAATCCAAACTGGCAACACACGAACGCACGCACACTGGCGAGAAGCCATACAAGTGTGACGTGTGTCTAAAGTATTTTAGCCAAAAATCTCACCTCACTGTACACAAACGTGTCCATATTTCTGAAGAGTGTAACGAGTGCATGAAATCCCCAAAAGACCACCTGGCTGGACACAAATGTGTACACTCCGAAAAAAGGACATACAAATGTGACGTGTGTCTAAAGGATTTCACTCAAAGTTTTCACCTTACCCTTCACAGGCGCGTCCATATAGGAGAAGAATGTAACAAGTGTTTAAAATATTTCACTCGAAAAGACTACCTGGCTGGACACAAATGTGTACATACCGAAAAAAAGCCATACAAATGTGATTTTACACGAAAAGTAGACCTTGCAGTACACGAAACCGTGCACACTGAAGATAAGCCCTACAAATGTGAGGTGTGCCTGAAATCTTTTTCAGCAAAAGCCTACCTGGTAAGACACGAACGCGTGCACACTGGCGAGAAGCCATACAAATGTGCCGTTTGTTTAAAATCTTTTACGGCGGAATCCAGTCTGGTAAGGCACGCAAGCCTGCATACTGGCGAAAACCCCTACAAATGTGTCGTATGCCCAAAATCTTTTTCGGTAAAATCCACATTGGTAATACACGAACGCACGCACACTGTCGAAAAGCCATATAAATGTGCTGTGTGCCTGAAATTTTTTTCGTTAAAATCCCTTCTGGTAGTACACGAACGAGTGCATACTAGCGAAAAGCCCTACAAATGTTTTTCGTGCGCGAAATATTTTGCGAGAAAAGCCTATCTGACAAAGCACGAACGCACGCACATTGGCGAGAAGCCTTACAAATGTGAAGTTTGTTTAAAATCCTTTACGGAAAAGTCTTATCTGGTAAGACACGAACGCACGCACACTGGCGAGAAGCCATACAAATGTGACGTGTGTCCAAAGGCTTTTACACAAAAAGCAAACCTCACAGCACACAAACGAATGCATACTGGAGAAAATCTCCACACTTGTGACGTGTGCCTGAAATCTTTTTCGATGAAATCTTCTCTGGTTAGGCACGTACACACGCATACTGGAGAAGGGCCCCACAAATGTTTAGTGTGCCTCAAATAATTTTCGGTAAAACTCCATCTGGTAGAGCATGAACGAATTCATACTGGCGAAAAGCCTTATACTTGTGACGTATGTTTCAAGTGTTTTACTAAAAAATACAACCTAACGGTACACAAACGCACGCATGCCACAGAAAAGTCATACAATTGTGTCAAGCGCCTGAAACCTATTGCGGTGAAATCCTACCTCGCAAAAAAACATAAACATGTTTATTCTGGTGAAGAGCCTTGCGAATGCGAGGTTTGTTTCAAGTGTTTCGCTCAAAAATGAAAACGGGATCGACAAAAACGTAACCATGTTGGAGAACAATCAGATCATTATCAGTCATCAGTCTTTATCTACAATTTAAATTTAAGATTTTTTTCTCTTTGTGTTATTCACTACTTTATAATTGTTGTAAAAAAAATATTTTTTAGACAAATGATATTACTTTATATTGTAACTTTTTCTGCATTTCTACATTTTGTTTGTTTAATAAATTATATTAAACAATATTATTGGTTTTATTTTGTTTACACAATTTGTGTACCACATATTCGGAATTTTTAATATAAACAATAACACTGACTCGTGCACTTCATTTCAGCACCAGCATACGCTGTGTGGTCAGGATGGACAGTTTTGTATAAATTGTACCCGAAAATTTTATTTTGTGAGTGTTAGATGTGTTTTAGTGATAATGGATATATTTTTTTTTTTCGTAAAGTAAATTTTGTATTAATATTTATGTTGAGTTACTCCGTTTGCATTCCAGAGAAATATGGTGATCAATTCAGATATAATAAATTAGAGAAATTCATTTTTTAAAAGTATTTTCTTAATGACTGAGGTAAGAAATGTATTCAACGTGTTGATTAATGATTTTAAGTCGTTAATAAACGATGACAGTTGATTTGTAAGGTTTATTTGACCTTGGCATCTGAGCCATTGTATAGGAGACGGTGAGGATGTGGTACTCCTAAAACAAATGTAGTTTAATTAAATAAAATTAGTGTTTTGATCGCTTGGTTTAAAGTCGATAAAGAGTAAAGGTAGTGGTAATTTAGTTTGACTACTTGTAGAGCGTTGAAACCAAGACGTGATAACTCTAGTTTTATAACTTTAATCGGAGTTACAAAGTATGGGTTTGTAAGAGTAGTTATTTTTTGTTCAGAAATTGTTTTAGACGTAGCTGAATTTGGTTTTTTCCTTTTAGATTTAATGTGAGAATCTCAAGTTAATCGTTTGTTGAGTGTGACACCAATATTTGACTTCCGAAGATATTTGGATAAGTATTCGTTGGAATTAAAGAAAAGTTAATGATATAGTGATACAACTATACAGTCAATGAAATAAAACTCGAGATACTAAGTAATGTTAAGGACTTGGGTGTCACTTTGTCTACCGACTTATCTTTTAACACACATATTTACTCAATGTGTGCTAAAGCCTATCAAAATCTTGGGTTTATTAAATGCAATTGTGGTGAATTTAGGGATTTAGGAAGCTTTACTCAGGCTTTATAAGCTCGGGTCTAGGATTTGGTTTATTGTATTGCAACTGTACTCATTGCCCCCTTCGGGGCGTTACTCTTATAATTAAATAATTAAATAAAATGAATTATACAAAACCAGCTATCACCTATTAACAATTTCTGAAAATTATTCTTAATTAAAATTAAGTAGGTAAATACATATTATACCTTACTATTAAAGTTATAGGTCAGAGGTCAGAGCTCTGGAAAATTATATCTTGAATTAGCTATTCTACATTTTGTGTAAATTAATATTGCTTAATCAATTTTAAATATAAATATACCTAATAAATAAATACTGTAATACAGGGTCATCCACTCGTTATCTCATAAGGTTCAATAAAAAATTTAATTTGTTATTATACAATGTGATCTCAATTTTTCCTATTTTTTTTAGTTTTTACCCACCCCCCTCACAACTTAGTTTCATTAATATATTATTCGAATTTTTAAAAGTTAAAAATATATATACTTTATCTTTTAAGTTTCAAAAGTTGCTATCAGAAAATCTAAGCTGGGAGGGGGCTAAAAAGAAAAATTAAAAATTTTTTTTAACTTATTGAGTGGTTCACAATAAGTGGATCACTGTATGTTTTTTTAAACTTTTTTATTTGAACGGCACGATATTGTTTGTTCTAGAGCAGGACAAAACCGAAAGTACAAATAAAATGAATGGACAAATTGATCAAATGGCACAAACTAAAATCAAACAATATTCAAACAAACTTCAGACGTTCCTATGCGATTTTTGTAAGAAATGTTTTTTTAACAAAAAGCAAATTCTCCGTCATATGATTACCGTCCACAATAATGCAACGGCTAATCGTTCACACCGAAAACACAAGTCTAATGAAACATCTAATAAATGTGCCGTTTGTTTAAAATCTTTTACGAAGAAATCCGATCTGGTAAAACACATACGCATTCATACTGGCGAAAAGCCCTACACTTGTGACGTGTGCCTGAAATCTTTTTCAGCAAAATCCAATCTGGTAATACACAAACGCATGCATACTGGCGAAAAACCGTACAAATGTGTTGTGTGCCAGAAATCTTTTTCGATGAAATCTAATCTGGCAGCACACGAACGCCTGCATACTGGCGAAAAGCCCTACAAATGTGTAGTTTGCCTGGAAACGTTTCCCCGGAAATTCACTCTGCTATCACACGCTCGCATTCATACTGTCGAAAATCCCTATAAATGTGTGGTTTGCCCGAAAACTTTTTCCCGAAAACTCGCTTTGGTATCACACGCTCGCATTCATAGTGGCGAAAAACGCTACAAATGTGACATGTGTCCAAAGGATTTTACACGAAAAGCTTACCTCGCATTACATAAACAAGTGCATACTGGCGTAAAGCCCTATCAATGTGTTGTATGCCCGAAATCTTTTTCGGTAAAATCCTATCTGGTAGCACACGAAAGCTCGCACACTGGCGAGAAGCCGTACAAATGTGACGTGTGTCCAAAGGATTTTACACGAAAAACAAGACTTACCAAACACAAACGTGTCCATTCAGGTGAGTGTAACGAGTGCAAAAAATCCCCAAAAGATCGCTTGGCAGGACACAAATGTGTCTATACTGAAAAAAAGCCATACAAATGTGACGTGTGTATCAAAGATTTCACACAAAGTTTTCACCTTACCCTTCACAGGCGTGTCCATATAGGAGAAGAATGTAACAAGTGTTTAAAATATTTCACTCTAAAAGACTACCTGGCTGGACACAAATGTGTCCGTACTGCAAAAAAGCCCTACAAATGTAACGTGTGTCTGAAGTATTTTACACGAAAAGCAGACCTTGCAGTACACGAACGCTTGCATACTGGCGAAAAGCCCTACAAATGTGTTCTGTGTCTAAAGTCTTTTACACGAAAAGGAGACCTCGCAGTACACAATCGAGTGCATACTAAAGATAAGCCATACAAATGTGCCGTTTGTTTAAAAAATTTTTTCCTGAAAAGCAGTCTGGTAAGGCATTTAAGGCTGCATACTGGCGTAAAGCCCTACAAATGTGTTGTGTGCCTGAAATCTTTTTCGACAAAATCCACTATGGTAACTCACGAACGCACGCACACTGGTGAGAAGCCATACAAGTGTGACGTGTGTCTAAAGTATTTTAGCCAAAAATCTCACCTTACTATACACAAACGTGTCCATAATGATGAAAGGCCATACAAATGTGACGTGTGTCTGAAGTATTTCACACGAAAAGAACACCTGGTAGGACACGAACGAGTGCATACTGGAAAAAAGTCCTACACTTGCGAATTCTGCCTGAAATCTTTTTCGATAAAATCACGTCTGACAAGGCACATACCCATTCATACTGGCAAAAAACCCTACAAATGTGACGTGTGTCTAAAGTCTTTTACTCAAAAACCAAACCTCGCAGTACACAAACGAGTGCATACTAAAGATAGGCCATACAAATGTGCCGTTTGTTTAAAATCGTTTACGGCGAAAGGCAGTTTGGTAAGGCACGTAAGGATGCATACTGGCGAGAAGCCATACAAATGTGTTGTGTGCCTGAAATCTTTTTCAGCAAAATCCCAACTGGTAAGACACGAACGAATGCATACTGGCGAGAAGCCATATAAATGTGAAGTGTGTCTACAGTGTTTTACACAAAAAGCAAACCTCGCAGTACACGAACGCACGCATGCCTCAGAAAAGTCATACAAGTGCGTTGTGTGCCAAAAACCTATTGCTGTAAAATCATACCTCGCAAAAAAACATGTCCATGTCCATTCTGGCGATGAGCCCTGCGAGTGCGAAGTTTGTTTCAAGTGTTTTGCCCGAAAACGTGTCCATGTTGGAGAATAGTCAGATCTTTATCAGTTATTAGTTTTTGCCTACAATTTATATCTAAGCCTTTTTTGTCTGTTTGTTATTCTTTACTTTATACTTGTTGTAACAAAAAAAAGATCTCCTAGACGTTTAATACTTTATGTTGTATCTTTTTCTGCGTTTTCACATTTTGTTTGTTTAATACATTTTTTTAAACAAAGTTAATGTAATGCATATGTCTACGTGGTTTCGTTTAAAAAAAATAGTAATATTCCTACAATTCTAAAATGCAAACTCTTTAAAATAAAATTCTGCAAGCTTAGACTTTGTCTTTTGAAATACCTCGTGATACATTCATAACTTTGTCCATTTGAAAACAAGTAACATTGAGCAAAAAAATAAAATATTTTCTTATACATTAGTTGAAAAATATTTTGTTCGCTCGAATAACGTGATGCATTAAATAGTCAATTAAGCTTAAATTAACTAAGTAATTTTGTTTTAATTCGAGCTAGTACAATTTAACTTAATAACATTATAAACACATGTATAAGAATGTAACAATAATTCCATAACGTAGATAAACAAACGATCGGCGGAGAGCCGAGAATAGCGCGACTCGGAGAGACCTTGTGCGGCAACTGGCGTGTATTGCCGTAACGACAATCAAATGACACCTTATCAGTTATGCGTAATATGAATTTAGTCATGTTAGGGAAAATAACATTACGCGCTGCAACATATCGGCCCCTTTGAAGGGTAACCTTCAATAATAAACTTTACATACGAATATTTAACAATTTTTTTTTTTATATTAAAAGGATACACGGGTTCACAATTCTTCAATTGGTAAACGACACAATTTCCTCAAACTCCTTTTCACAGTACCACTGCTTGTACGTACTTCTGTCACTCTAACAACTCCATCTATGCCCGGAAAAGTTGTTTGAACTCTGCCAAGCCGCCATTGTAGAGGTGGTAAATTATCTTCACGTATCAAAACTAGTTCGTCTTCCTTGATTTCATTTCCTTGTTTTGTCCATTTCGATCGATTTTGTAATGTTGACAAGTACTCTAAATGCTAACGTCTCCAGAAGTGTTGAAATAACTGCTGGACTCGCTGCCAATATTTCAGACGATTCTCTGGAGTCTGAAGAAGATTTTGTTGGGGGGAGGGGTGCAGTTAGCGGTGCAACTATCAGGAAATGACCTGGTGTTAGTGGCTCAACGTCTGTAGGATCATCTGAGCGTTCAGTCAATGGTCTTGAATTCAAAGCCGCTTCGACTAAAGCAAGATAAGTTGAAAATTGTTCGTATGTTAGCCGGGCTTCTTGAACTGTTCGTTTTAGGTGGAATTTCGTAGATTTAACAGCGGTCTCCCACAGACCACCAAATTCTGGTGCTCTAGGAGGTATAAAATGCCATCTGATACCGTTTTCAGCCGCTGTGTCCATTACTCCTTGTTGATGATCTGGACATTGAAGCAAGCTTGACAATTGTTGGAGTTCATTGTTTGCACCAACGAAGTTCGTTCCGTTGTCCGAATACATATCACATGGCTTACCTCGTCGAGAGATAAAGCGCTTAAAAGCTCCTAAGAAGGCTTGGGTAGATAAATCTCTGACTAATTCAATGTGTACTGCTTTAGTGACAAAGCAGACAAAAATAGCTATATACGCCTTTAGTGTTGTAACTCCTCGGCGTTGACTAGGTTTTATTAGAAAAGGTCCACAATAATCTACTCCTGTTCTTACAAAAGCTCTTGCAGCTTGCACGCGATGCCTTGGTAGATCACCCATAATAGTAGTTTTCGATTTTGGATTCGCCTTGAAACATACCAAACATTTATGAACAACATCTCGAACGAGTCTTCTTGCACCCAGAGGCCAGTACCGCTGTCTAACGTTAGCTAATAATAATTGAGGACCCGCATGTAGACACATTATATGTTCTTTAATGATAATTGCTCTCGTTAGCATATGATCTTGAGGAAGTATAACCGGATGTTTATGATTGATGCTCAACTCAGAATTTTTTAGCCTACCGCCAACACGAAGTAAACCGTCGTCATCCAAATATGGTCTACACTGTCTGATCCTACTTTTCTGACTCACTTCGTTACCAATTTTCAACCTTTATCTGACTACAATAATTTAACATTTAATAATAATTAAAAAATAATTTTTTTTAATTAACAAATTTTTTTTGTGTTTTGTGTGCTCCTTTAAAATATGATTATTTGAAGTTCGTTGTAAGCTGGCTTTATACACTAATCATCTTTGAACAGTTCCTCCTATCCATTACATGGACAATCCATTACAATTATTCAACAAAACAATAAACGTGTACACTAATTTCTAAATGCTGTGTTAATGGCATTGCATACAAATTGTAGTATCCTATAAATGTATCATGTGTTCAATACATAATACATTGTAGTAAGCCACGATAAACCGATAGAGCAAATATAACTCCAATACGATAAGGCAACAACTCAAACCAATACATTTATTTCAGTATAAGGTATATAGTATATTTTCAATAAAGGTAATCTAATATAGTAAACTTTCTGAAAATAGATTATAAATAGGGCGTTAAGCACATTAACGAACGAATAAAACATAAAAAAATAATGGTAACCTAATAGAATTAACTAATTTAAATTTAGTTTATTAAAATAAAGAAAAAAACTACAAATTGAATTAATATTAATCCACTAAATAGACAAATCAGTTAGGTCATCCAAATACGCTGGAAGTTGTGTTGTCAGATGTGTGGATAAGTTTGGTGACAATACACATATTAGAAGGATTTTCTAATCCCTTGAATAAATGCAATCACATAGTATAGTGTCAGGAAAATATTTTTTTTTTTTCAACGAATAATATTATATGAATACGATTTATTGTTCGATATAATGTTTTGGGTTTTTCGCAATGTTCAGCAAATAAAAATATTTTGTTATTTTAATTCACCTAAGTAAATAACAGTATTTATTAGAGTTACACTATACTTACAAATGTACAATTGGGTCAAAAAATACTCTTTAAGCAACGAAAAAAGCAACTCTTTATAAAAATATATCCCGAATCGAATCAAATTCCACTGTTCATCCGATTTTGGTATCGAAGACTTACTTCTGTTTCAACAGTGCTTAAAAAAACCCAATATGCATTTCAAGATTGCTGTTATTCTCTATGCGTTGTACTTCGTGACCATAACACATGTTAGTTTAAAACATAATAATACAAATCATAAATGCAATAAAAAAAAATGTCGATAGTTAATAGTATGTATTATTATTATTGTATTTATGGCACTTTATAGAGCGTCGGAGTCAATCAGGATCAAGTCAATATGATTGTCGAATTTGTCAAAAAAGACGAAAACGTTATTGATCAAATTACTCCAGAAAAATTCGAAGGAAAATTTCGATAAATGGGCGTGAATGATGTAACAGGTTTTACATATGAAGCAGGTAATAAAGTATCTTTTGAACAGGGTTTAAACTTAACGGTTGTAATCAAATTTTACATCATCCCACTTAAAAAAAAATTATCACAAGAAATAATATTCGTCCAGCATTCCTAATCATTCAATTTAACGCATCTTGTGGCTAGCTCGATTAAAATATGCTTAGAATTAATTTTTTTTATGTAGGTACAAAAGACGGTCGAAAAGTACAAAGTGTAATAGAATTTCTGGCCAAAAGCATTGAGATAAAAGCCAACTGGAAGGTAATAACAAAAAAAATATGACAAACTTCGTAATTAATGTGATTTTCCTATTTCCGTACACGTTTTTCTACATAGGCCAAAAGTGTTTCATCTCACGAAATAACAATTTATTTGAGCCTATTCAGATATCATGACAAAATAGGAGACGATGACGATGGTCTAGTTAACCCCAGAGAATTAAAAAGTATCATTAAAGATTTAAGTTTAAATGAAGACGAGAAAGAAAGTTTGGCAAAACCGTTTGAAGGTGTTGTTGAGCAGTTAGTTATATTCCTATAGTTGATAATTTAAAGTAATTTTTATAGGTGATCTAACAATTAATTTCGCGGAGTTCATACTTGGCTATCTGGAAATTAAACCAGAAGTAAGAAATTATGGTTTCGTTAAATGCTTGATAGCGCATTTAAGCATTAAAACAAGTCAAAATTCATTCGTTGACTTAATAATTACATGACTTATAAATTTTTACTTAGGGCTTTACTTTATCTAATAGACCATTGGTCTATTAGATTGTGATGTTAATTTGCTTAATGCATATAAAAAGGACATGGTAGGTAGCACCTACTTTGAGACTACTTCTGTAACACGTTATATCAAAATGTTTTCTATAGTTGAGGTCCAGCATGAGGAATGGTTTTTTGAACGCTTTCGTAAGAATATATTTTTGATATTATCTCATTTGTTATTAATACCGTTCTTTGTAGAGTTGGCAAAATAACTTTTCAATAAAATAACAAATATATTTAATATTTTTACCATAGAAAATTATGCTTTGGAGTTGCAAGAGCTGGTGGTTTTTGCAGCAGAATACAAAAAAAAGGAAAACAAAGAAGTAATATTAATAGTTTAATTACTTATTAATTTAAGATTGCGTTTTATATGCTTTTATCAGGACGCTCCCATCCATTTATTGAAGGAGTAAAGTATAGGAAATGTTTATACTCATTAATACAGCAACGAAGATTGTTTATTGGTTGTAGTTTTTTTGTTGCCAGGGCTTCACAGTAATTTCTTTAGAAAAACATAACATTTTTTTTCTTAAACATTGTTTTACGCAAATCAGAAATAAAATACTAAAAAAACTTAATAATTGTATAGGAGAAAAAATTATTTGATATACCAAAAAATTGTTATAGGTTAAGTCTGGTCAACTCGTCATTCCTACATCTAAAGTTAGAGATTATGTTTCGGATTTCGCTTTTCACGACAAAAACTATGACGGTTTACTCAATAGGATAGAACTTGACGGAATTGTGAGCAAGTATTTCAAGGAAGATACTGTAGAATCTTTCCTTTTAGACAGCGATAGCAATGGTAAAATTGCAAATTATATTTTCTGTTTATCCTGTTTCGTGATTTTAACGCAACGGGGAATAAGTGATTTTACAATTATGAAAAGCATTGTCAGAAGAAGATTGCTCATGTTCCCACTATAAATATGATATTATAGTGGTCAAAATGTTGAAGTAGATCTAGAGACAAAATAAAATAAACTTCATAACTAATTTATTTATTACTTTTCAGATGACAGCAGTATTGACATTGCGGAGTTCCTCATTGCAAAACTTTGGGAGACTTTGAAGAATTGATTATTATATCAAATGATTTACATACGAATATTATTTGGCAGTGCTTTAATCATGGGTACTAAGTATTAAATTTGATTATTTATGATTCTTTTCAAAGCTGTATAATTTTACACATATATTTTAATTATTTAATGATTTTAGTCAATATACAACGATTTTAATCCTTATTAATAAAATAAGATACGATTTTTTTAAGTTTGATTGTGTTGTGTGTAATCTTTGTCTCTCGCGAACACGGTAGTTCCAGTATATTTTTAACTCAATCTTTATACGTTATTTTCGTCGACCCCTTTTAAGCTCGTTTAACTTTTTTCAAACTTATTGGGTAAATCAGAGAAACCCCCCCGGGTTCCTTTCGATGCCTTAACCCAAACCCGGGTCCATATCTCCATATCTCCCTCCGTATTAACGTATGTCTACGTTAAGCTTTTCAAGTTGCGAACAATGTCTTATACAGAAGCATCTTTAATAAAACGTTTGAGCATTACAAACAAGGCTTTTGCTTTTTCTGATATGACTTAAACGTTAATTTAAATAGTGCTAATAACGGAGCTCATTTCTCCTCATTTCCTGCCTTCTCGCAATTTGCTGACTCAAAAGTTACGTCTAATAAAAATAAAACCTCTGTAAATTCTATAAGAAAAAGGAAAAATTTGTCCCCCTCTCCATCATTTTCTCCTCCTTCTTCGATCAGTACCAGACCTATCTCTCCGAACAGCAGTTTCCTTAATTATATGGAACACAGTAATTTCTCCTAATACGATTACCCTAGTTGGGTTTTGGCTTTTGTGCAACTTCTCACACGTTCTGTTACAAGTGATCATTCACATCTCTCATCTCCTTCAACGCTCCAATCTGTCATCGTACCTTCGCTCATCAATCTCCCTTTCCCAACTATAGACGACGACGTCACATTCTAATTTCGACTCCGTCATCCCTTCTTTTCACATTCTTTAATTGAATGGAAGAAGTTTTCTAACTAGTTTACAAGACCTCTCCTTCCTTCTTTCTAGTAAAAAAACGTTCCTTCACTCTTCTTTCTAAGACCTGGCTTCTCCTTAACAAACCCTTTCCTTTTCCTCACTTTGATATTTTACGTTATGACCGCATTGATGGGTACGAGGGGCGTGGCCGTTGCCGCCCATCAATCCATCCAAACCAACCATATTTTACTAGACACTCAATTTCAATCCTCCCTTCTTGATCACACTATCGACCTTATCGGTATTGAGGTGGTCATTAACTCATCTACCCCACTTTCTCTATTGTCTGTCTACATCCCACTATCCTCTAATCTCCCACCTCAGCTCATTGACAAGATCTTTAGTCTTTTTGTTTAATTCCTGTTTAATTCCTGCGAGTAGCATTTCTTTAAATCAAAAATTTTATTTAGTTGTTACTTTTAAGGGGGGGGGGGGGTAAAAGTAAAAAAAGTTAATACATCCTAATTTGTTTTATTAAAAACCATCAAAATAGGTCAAACCCAGTCCAAGTTAAACGCAACTCCGGCCATTGCTCTATCGGCAAAAATAATTGACAAAGTATATTAAAAAAAATTAGTTTCTAAGGTATTTTCAATTTTTTGTTTGTAATTATAAAAAGCCTAAAACCAAGTAAACCAATCGGTAAAACCACCCAGATACACGGTATAGTATTGTCGTTGGCTAAGCGTTGACTTGGTGGCTGAGTACCGTTGACCATGTTAGTTGTGTGGATTATTTTGGCGAATATACACATTTTAGAAGGATTTTCGGATCCCTCGAATAAATCTAATCACTTAGTATAGTGTATGGAATTTATTTTTTTTTATAAATTAATAATATTATATGAAGATCTATTAACATTTATTGTTTTGGTTTTTATGCGATGTACAGCAAATAAAAAAGTATATTGTTATTTTATTTCACATAAGATTTATATTTCTTATGAATTCAACCGAAAATTGAGACACCGACTACCTAAAAAACCAATTGAATTTAGATCTCTTTTTCAAAGTGTAGATTTTGATCTTTTATATAGTTACAATGTATTTTTTACAACACATATCACAATAACTGTATAGCAAAGAACTGTGCAGAATTTTTAAAGATTTTATTTTACTACATATTTCAAAAAATATTATTACAAACAACGAACCTGACTAAAACATATTCTTAGGTATCAGTACTTATAACTTATATGTGTACAAATAGTACTTTTAATTATCATAAATTATCTGTTTTGTACAACGATATGTTCGTAAGTTGTTTAACATTTAATACTAATATTGCAGTATACATAAATGACAACATGTCTGTTCGTATTATAAAGTTTTTAGGGTTAACATTATAAGAAGTGTAATGTTCTACAAACACAATTTTCAACACTGACTATTTTATACAGAACGAGTATTTTTTATGAAATAAGCGGTTTTCACTGCTTACTACCATAACACCGGCGTAAAACCAACCGGACCAATTGGTAAGACCACACAGTCCTATTCATTTTTGCTGGATGAGTCGTAGTTTGGCGTGGGACACAGTACTATTGACCATGTCATTTGTGTGGACTATACACATTTAAGAAGGATTTTCGCATCCCTGGAATAAATTTAATAGCATATATCGCATGATTCTCATAGTATAGTGTATGGAAATCGTCTTTTTTAAATTTAAACATATAATATTATTGTATGAAGATTTAATTAAATTCATCGTTCGCTATATAGCTTTTATTGTTTGCGATGTACAGCAAACAAAAGTATATTGTTATTTTATTTCACAAAAGTAAATGATGTGCAGTATTTTTTCTGGGGTACCGGTTGGCGAACACACTGCCACCTCACCTCATCATCACGCCGCACACCACAAGTACGGGCAGCTGGCAAAACCTGTGCGCCATCACTAAATCGTGCGTGCTAAACCGCTCTATTGTAGCTGGTCGGATTAAAAATACATCTTTGACCTAGAAACCAGCAAATTCCACAGGCCGCGCAAAATAACCGAAAAACAACAAGCAAATAATGACGAAAATGTTTTACACGGATCGACCAAAATTGAATATTGGTTAAATTAATTTTAACAAAAAATAAGAAGAATCCGTTTTCCGCCGAATTAACCTGGCGTACCGAAAGTCCCAAACGACCCAAATCAGCGATCTACTGATATGTTCGGATGAAGAAGCACACTGGAACCGACAGTACTCCAATTTACCCACCGGTACAGGAAATGGCGAAAAGCCTAGCTCCTTCCAACCCCTTCTACGAAATCCTGAACTGGCTGAAAGCGATCCTGTCCACTGTAACGACGAAGGGAAAAGAAAGGAAACGGTTAGGATGGGTGCCCAAAAATCAACACCATTTTAATAACTTAGAGCCAACGCCCAGGAGACATAATGTCGGATATTATAAGTGGAAGACCAGACAGTCAAACCGGCAAGTTTGCTCAGGGTAGTATACACACTGCTAGCAGCCCCTCCAGCCTCTTGCTCACGAACCAATTGTCTTTCCCTAGATTCAACCAAAATATGTCATACCATCAGACTGACCGAAATGGTCTGATTTGAAGCTGATTTAAGAAATTCTCTCAAGTTAAACGTAACACCGGGCATTGCGTTATAATTTAGCACTCCAGCGACAGGAACCTCTCCATAACACCGTCAAAATGGCCGGAGTATACGCTACTGGGACAAGCAACCCCACAGTTTTTACCGCCAAGATAGTCGACTAGGAGACCAAATCTCATGTCACTATCTTAGATACACTATACGGCTCCGTAATACCTTATGGGAAACCCCGCAGGTACAACAAACCATTTGCTGGAGGACACCAGGTATAACCAAATACCCATCCTGGCTACTTAGGATAGGTTAGTTTCCCTATTTTATTAGATAGCTTGGGGGGGGGGGAGTAGGACACCCTTCCGTTGACTATGTCAATTATGTGGATAAGTTTAATGACTGTACACAATTTAGAAGGATTTTCGCGTCCTTTGAGCAAATTTAATCGCATAGTGCAGAGTATGGAAGCTTTTTTTTTATTTAAACGAATATTGTTATAATATTATGAATACTAAAAACATTCATTGTTTGCTGTACAATTGGGACAAAGAACAAGTTTTTAAGTATATAGTATGCAAAACAAATAAACCGCAAAACAAATAACTACCGAATACCAATATTTCCCATCTACATATCTATGTTAATTTTATTAATCACGCCATATAAAAAACACACCGAATCGAATCTGTTTCCACTGTTCAGCCAACTTTGGTATCAAAGACGTACTCCTGGTTCAACAAAGTGTTTGAAAAATAATACCATTATGCATTTCAAACGCGCTGTTATTCTTTGTGCATTATACTTTGTGACGATGACACAGGTAAATAAGAAACATATAATAAAAATATAATTGCAATAAACAAAATTTTAAAAAAGTTGGTAGTTTTTAGAATGTATTTTAATGATTTATTTATGTTACTTTATAGAGCATCGGACTCACTAGAAGTATAATCGAGAAGATTGTTGTTGAATTCGAAAGATTTGAAAACTCTGTAGACCAAATTTCCCCAAACGAAATCGAAAAAATTATAAATGATATGGGCGTGCAGGATTTGTCAGGTTTTACATACGAAGCAGGTAATAAAGTATATTTTATACAGGGTTTAAACTTTACGATTGTAATCAAATTTTACCCCATTCAGAAAAATTATATCCGACATACCAATATTTACCAATTTTTCAATTTAACGCACACGTCTTGGCTATCTCGACTGAAAATTGCTAAGAATTTTATTATATTTTAATGTTCAATGTAGATACGAAAGATGGTCGAAAAGTACAACAACTTTTGGTACTTCTGGCCAAAACCGATATGCCATCTGACCACTGGCTGGTAATAACAAAAAAAAAACATGAAACAATTTAAAAATTATCCGATTTTCTTATTTTTACGCACTATTTTTCTTTACATAGAAACGGAGATTTGCAACCCATGAAGTAACAATTTACTTGAACCTGTTCAGATACCACGACGAAAACGGGGGTGTTGAGGACGGTCTACTTGACTTTAAAGAATTAAAAAATGTCATTCAAGCTTTAAGTTTGAATGAAGACGAGAAAGAAAGTTTGGCAAAAACGTTTAAAGGTGTTATTGAGTAAACGAAGCAAATAATTGTATTCTTAAGGTTGATAATTTAAATTAATTTTTATAGGTGACCTAACAATTAATTTCGCAGAGTTCTTATTGGCCTTTGTGGATATAAAACCAGAGGTAAGAAATTATGGTTTCGTTAAATGCTTGATAAGTTATACATGTTATAATGCTTTTGCATTGGCGTGGCATTTAAAATGTCTTAGAGAAATATATTTTGTATAATTTATCGCATTAAAGCATTAAAAAAAGTCAAAATGTATTCGTACACTTTATAATTATATGGTTTTAAAACTTTTACTTAGGGCAACGGTCTAACAGAGAAACATATTAAGGAGCTGGTCCTAATTAAAGATATCAACGTAGTTGTCCCTTACATAAATAATACTTATGTAACAGAGTTTATCAAAAAGTTATCTATAGTTGATGTCCAGGATATGAATTGGACTTTTGAACGCTTTCGTAAGAATATACTTTTGATATATTCTCGTTTGTTCTAAATACCGTTTTATATAGAGTTGGCAAAATAACTTTTCATCTGTACGAAGCAATAAGTACACAGTAATCTTAATTGCAATGTAATATTTGTTATGTTTCTCAACTATGTTTTAATAAGTATAATTTAATAAAATAAAACAAATTATTTAATATTTTGACCATAGAAAATTATGCTTTGGAGTGTCAAGAGCTGGTGGTTTTTGCAGCAGAATACAACAAAACGGCCGAAGTAGAAGTAATATTAATTGTTTTATTACGATTGCCTTTCATATGCTTTTATCAGGACGCTCCTACCCATTTATTGAATGGAATAATGTATAGGAAATTTTCCGTAAAGGTTTAATCTAGAGCTTAATCTTGTGTGCATACTCATTAACACAGCAACGAAGATTGTTTATTGGTTATAGTTTTTTTGTTGCCAGTCTTTCTTTAGTAAAACATACAATTTATTTTTTACATAGTTTTGCGCGAATCATAAATTAAATACTAAAAAATAAAAAATGTATAGAAAAAAAATTATTGGATCTTCAAAAAAATTGTACTAGGTAGTATGCTCTTCTACTTTCCTATGGAAATTTGGTCAACTCAATGCTATCGCAGCTCATAGAGTATATTTTATCAGGTCAATCCATGTTATCACACTACAAATGACGAGTGAATAGCGTTTGTGTGTGCACTATATAATCTAAAAACATAAATGTCTACGTGAATTACTTTGTTGATTTCTCAGCATGAACTTGTCATTCCTACCTCTGAAGTTAGAGTTAAGTTATCGGATTTCGCTTTTCACGACAAAAACTTTGACGGCTTACTCAACGGAATAGAACTTGACGAATTTGTGCGCAACCATTTTAAAGGAGATACTGTTGGAGCTCTCCTTAAATGCGGCGATATCAATGGTAATGTTGTAAATTAAAGCGTTAACGAATCGGCTTAATTATATTAAATAACTATCATAGTGAGGACGAGCATAGTGTACGATCTAGGGGGTTTTACGTGTGTAGACATTTTTCCGAGTGAACTTATTAAAATAAATCTCGAGAAACCACCGTGATAATATGTACATAAAACGGACGGTAGTAGAAGAAAAAATTGTATCCTATTATGAAAAATGTCCATTATTCAATTGGTATGCGATTTACGATGAAATAAATTATTTTGGTTTTTTGTATCATCGTTAGGGTTAATATTTAAGGATACGGTAAATACATTTTTTCTAACTATACTGTTTTGTGATATTAACGCGACGGGGAACGAGTGATTTTACAGTTCCCAAAAGTATTGTCAAAAAAATATTGCTAATGTTTCCAAAATAAATATGATAGTATAGTGGTCAAAGTGTTGAAGTAGAAGTGGACACCAAATAAAAATATAAACTACTTAACTAAAAATAGTTTTCTTTTCAGACGATAACAGTTTTGACATTGTGGAGTTATTTGTCGTCATATTTAAGAAGCGTGAGCGTTAAACTCATAATAAATAAACACAAAAGTTTTATGAGTTTTTTCTGAATTGAATATTATATAAAATGATTTACATACGAATATTATTTGGAAGTGCCTTAATTATGGGTAACAAGTATTAAATTTTATATTTTATTATTCTTTTCAAGGCTGTATAATTTCACACATATGTTTTAATTATTCAATGTTTTTAGTAAATATACAACGCATTTTAAACAGTCTTGCAATATTTTAAAACTATCCACGCGATGAATCGCTGTTATAAGCTTTTAACATTATTACCGACACTGATCGAATAGCTCAATTAAAAAATCTACAATTTTGCTTTGCCCTCCCTTTCCACATCCCACCCACCTCATATAATTTTCCAAATATCATATTAAGTGTATTTTACAATTTACTTTTCGTTAATTTTGAAGCAATAAAAAAGGTATGTTTATTTAAATTGTATTTTTTTAACAAAATTTTGTAGACATGCAAATGACAATTGGCGTATTATGACAATAGACAGGAAAAATGAATTTTTTTTTTTTATTTCTATTTTATTGATGCTAGAATTCATGTTTTAGTTTTAAAACGCCACAAACGAGGCAGTCTTGATTTTTTGAGATACATCTAACTACGCAGTACCTAATGAATTTTGCATTACAATCAATTGGGCAAAAATGTAATACAAAACAAGTAGTTTCTAACGTATTTTGAATGTTTTGTTTGTGATTTTAAACGGCTTAAAACCAAATGGACCAATCACGTGGTTAGGTGACCAGACGAACAATCCTAGCATTTTCACTGTATGAGCGGTGGCTTAGTGATGATGATTAGGACACGGTACCGTTGACCATGTCAGTTACGTGGATAAGTTAAATGACTATACATATTTTTGAAGGATGTTCGCATCCCACGTAATCGCATAGTATTGTGTATGGAATTTATTTTTATTTATTTAAACGAATAATTTTATTATATAAAGATTTAATAGCATTTTATCGTTCGCTATAATGTTTTGGGTTTTTTGCGATGTACAGCAAATAAAACTATATTGTTATTTTATTTTACATAAGTAAATATGCAATATTTTTCTAGGTTACACTGTGCTTACAACTGTACAATCGGGTTAAAAACAACTCTTCAACTATAACATGTTATAATATATTGTATATTTTCATTGTGTTTATAAATTGTTTTGAATATTTTTTTTTTGTTTGGTAGGACCCTATTAATTATTACAAAAATTAAACCAAATACTTTTTTTAAACATTAATGGACACTTATAATTATTATTGCTCTAGATTGTAGATTAATTTTTCTTATGAACTCGCCCGAAGTTTAGGAACCCGACTACCTAAAAAACAATTAAATTTAGATCTTCGTTTTACAGTGTCTATAGATTTTGATCTTTAATATAATATTTACAATGTGTTTCTTACAACACATGTATCACTACACCACAATAGCTATATAGCAAAGACTGTGCTTCATTTTTAAAGATTTCATTTTACTTCATATTTTTAAAAATATTATTAAAAATAACGAACCCGACTAACACACATTCTTTGACATGAGTAGTTATAACTTATATGTATACAAAAAGTATTTCTAATTTTCATTAAAACGTCTGTATTGTACAACGATACGTTCATACTTTGTTTAACATTTAATATAAAGAAATGACAATAATACATATGTCTGTTGTTATCATGAAGTTTCAGGTTTAACATTATTAGAAGTGTAATATTCTACAAAAATAATTGTTAATGTGCACGCAACCTAACCTAACCCAGCCGGACAACTATAGAAGGCTAATCCATTTCTTAAAAAATAATGACGCCCAGTTCCACGCCTATCAGTTACAATCTGATCAATCTTTAAGAGTCGTTATCAGAAATTTACACCTATCCACCCCTGTGTTAGACATTACCTCAGCTTTAATAGGAAATAGGACACACTGTGAAAAATTTTATTAACGTTAATCACCAACAAACAAAAACACCTTTGCCCCTCTTCCTTGTTTTGAGTTTTGAGACTTTAAGTTGGGCAAAAATAAAAAAAATTATCGTGGTAATTATTGACCATAGTTATTATTCTTTGTTGCCACATACCTGACGATGATAAATATATCAATATATACATGATAATCATTAAGTACTCAGCAGATAAACATAGGTAAGGCTCATTCAGATCGTTGAATTTGTTCCAAGCACTTGCATTTGCACTTATGTTTTACATTTTAGTTATTTAGCTTTTTTAGTGAAAAAAACATTTTTTTCTAGCTAACGGATCAGCATATAGCACTGAGTAAGCGTTTTAATATTGTGTATTAAAATATATAAATAGGCATATATTTCCTATATTATCTTGTAATTACAGAAATTCTATTTTATTTACACATCATTATTCGTTTTTTTTTTTTTTTTTTTACATAATTAAGTGTAATAATAGTATATCAGAAAGTTGGTCAAATCTGCCCCTTTTTAATAACGATTTAGATTGTAGCCATTTTTAATTATTTTCTTATAAGCTTTTTTTATTAAATTTTTTTAAACATGATATTACTAGACTAAAAAAAACTGACTTTTCTGGTTTTTTTCATGTACCCAATATTATTGAGCAGCTAAACGTTTAATTGCTCCCACTGTGCGGTGGTTGTTTGGTTGTGGTTGTGTCGACCATAGAAACATTGAAAGTTTGTCCGGAAACGTCGTCAACGGGTCGACAAGAACATGTTTCAACGACGTTGTCCTTAATTTGTGTGACAGGGAATCCATCTGGGCCTTTGAACGTCGTCGTCACGGTAGGCACATCCGTACGTTCAAATCGTTGACAAGTACATATTTCAGCGACGTGTTTCTTTACTTGTGAGACGATCCGTCCATTTTCGTCTTTGAATGTCGAACTAGACAATACTGGCCTAGTCAGTGGACCAGCACTCGTGGACAGTGCAAAAAATACGACTAGTAAACACAATATGGAAATCTAAAAAAAAAAAAACACCAATCGATAAGATAATATTATATTTTAAACGTGCAAAAACAAACAATTAAAGGTACCTTAGAGGTTACACGCATTTTTCCAACAATTTACTGACGCGACACTTGCAATATTCACTCGATACGGACAATTGTTGTATAGTTGAACGGCTAATAATATAATAATAAAAAAATTAAAAAAATGATGTGAAACGTTATAAAAAATTTGTATATTATCGCTAAAATAGCCGAACACCCATTGCTCATATTACAGGTAACACCTTCAACTGGGAACTTGATCGTTAGATAACCTTACACTTAATTGCTAGTGAACATAACCTAACCTCGTGCACATTATACAATACTTCATTATATAAAAAAAAAAACAAAATTTACTTTTTGTATAATTGATTTTGTCTGTACAAAATATTAACACAGCATCTCGATAATATTATTCTTAAGGATTAACCTTATATCGCGCAAATTATTTTCTAAGTGTTCGTAAAAAAAAATTGTCTTCTACTCACTACTTTTAGACTTCTATTTATTTATAACAATATTGGTAATCGGGCTTTTTAAAAATGTTCAATAAGTGCAGTCTAAAAAGTGGAAAAAGTTATAATATTAGTCCTTATCAAATAATACTCAAACGGCAAAAAATACTGCAAACTCTTACTGACAACATTAACTCCCGTCAAAATGTTATACCAGATAACTAACACGAATTCATAATATATTTAAAAACATATATATATTATAGTTAGTTACATGATTAATAGATGGTCAATATCATGATATTGTGTTAAAAACTATAATCTACTAATAGCTGTTATTTTATATAAAAGGAACTAGACTTAATATTATTTAATACATACCACCTGGCTTGCGCTTGCAATGATACTTGAAAATCAAAATAAAAGATTCAATCACTAAAATAGTTAATGTTGACAAAAAGTTTATTAAGATTTGGTAATTATGAACAACATTTACGTCGTTCTTTTACAAGCAAATTGTAGAAGC